GGGCGATGGCGTCCAACGGGACGCCGACGGCTACTATTGGTTGACCGGTCGTAATGACGACACTCTCAACGTTTCCGGACATCTATTGTCTACCGTAGAGGTGGAGACGGCTGTTGTCGAGCACCGGACGGTCGCAGAGGCGGCCGCAGTGTCGGCCCCGCATGCCATCAAAGGCGAGTGCATTCACGTGTTTGTTGTGTTGAATAATTGCTTTAAACTTACGGCTGAACTGGAGATCGATATCAAACGCAGAGGTATTTAATTAAAATTTAGTTATAATTAACTAAAATCATGATTTGTGCCCCAAATTAAGCTCGTGTTAAAATCGGAGCCCTCGCAGAGCCGGATGTGATCCGCGCTGTGAGTGGACTCCCGAAGACTAAATCGGGTAAAATTATGCGAAGAATATTGACTAAAGTGGTCCGAAATGACCGCGATTTGGGCGACACGTCCACAATGGCTGATCAGTCAGTACTTCAGGAGCTGTTTGCTACGGGTGCCAGCGATAGCATGTCATCCATTTAATACTCAGGCAACTTATTGTGTTAATTGGGTCATGCCAATATTTATGATTGTTAGATATGTTAACTTATTTGTTTAGCTATTTTTATGTTAGTAAATATTGATCTTAAAACATTAATTTATTATTAAAAATATATATCTAATAATTACAATTATAAATCTGTTTAATAAACTGCATGTAAATTGCATTGATTGCATTAACACTGTTAATTTTTAATAATACTTAAATTCATGCAAGTACAATGTGTTTTAATGAGTGCTATGCGCTCAAGGTCTATCAGTGTACAGCGACTTATCAAGGCGATTCAATGAGATAAATATACTGTAGACTTTGATGCTTGTTATTTAACTCACCCCGTTTTAAACGCAATGTACTAAAAAATAGTACATTAGTTACAATACGACCTCTATATTTGAACATTCAATTACATGTCAAGTGTTTTCCGTTCTGTTAAGTGATTTTAACATTATAACAATAGTGAAGTGTTTGATATCACTTTCCCATTAAATGTTGTGCACATAAAAGTTTCCCTTAAAGAGGTTACACTGTATTATCATCAGTAATTAGTATTTGATAATCTTTTGACTGATAATATAAATACTTTATGATTAACAAAATGCTATCTCATTGGAGGCTCCAGTAGTTGCAAATGCACTAAACTCTATAGTTAAAAGTGACATGGTATTATGTGTGTGTAATATTTAACAAATTGTTACCATAATTCATTTGAAGGAAAAACAAACCGACAATATTTTCAAATATTATATTTAATATACAAAAGTTAATAATTAATACATAATAACAATGCCTACCGATATGTTCTCGAAAAAGGAGCTGGATCAGATTGAAACGTTTAAACAGCGATCTGGTAAATTGGCCGGCATCGGTTTTGCAATCCTGGCCGCCGCGGCATACGGTCTACTCTACGGCCACATAGACTTCAGCCGCTGTCAGTCAGTGACGGCCGCAAACCTGACACAACTGCCGGCGCGCATACAATACGTGTTACAGCACTCGACACCCGGCGTGGTATGGCTGGTGTGGTGTCTGTTTTACGTGATCTCCCGTCGGGTCAACAGTCCCGCAGTCGACCCGAGCGCCGGTCACGAGCAGCGCACCCAATTGGCCAAGAATATTTTCTTAAACTCGCTGGAGCAATTTATATTGTCGTTGGTGTCCCAGCTCATCCTGGTGACCTATTTGGAGCCACGACAGGTGCTGAACGTAATTCCTACCCTGAGCCTACTGTGGATTACCGGTCGGGTTTTGTTTTTTGTTGGCTATCCCCGTTCCCGCACCACTGGCTTTGTGCTCACTTTTATGCCTACGTTAGCCACCATTGGGTTTATTTCGTATAAATATGTTCGCATTTTTGTCTAGATTAGTTTTTAAATAATTATTTTATGTATACAAATTTCTCTTCTAGTTTAATAAAAACAAATTTTAACATTATTTTGTTA